TTCAATAACCTAATCAAGTTTCTAGATGATGCGGTGAGGCAGAAGTTCATGGCTTTGAATCAGAGGAAACTTTTTATTTCTTCTTTCTTTGTTGATGAGCTTTTGGACAAACTAGAGTTTGCTAATGCTTTCCCAGGTGCTAGTTATGATGAGTTTGCAAATCCTGGAAGATTGGACTTAGAGTTACATCTGTAATATTTCCAAGTTGAAATAATATTGTCCATGTACATTATGTGTTAGTCATAAATAACGTTCTAAGCTGCATGACCAATGCATTTCAGAAGAGTATTTATTTCCCACATCAAAATGTATCATGTAAATATTAATCCTTTTCTTTGTCTCCTAGTCTCTCACTGTTGGCGTGACTGTTCCACATCTTGTTTTGTACTTTCATCTTGTTGCATCTTTTCGCGTCAATAGGGTATACGAACAAGTCAATTATCTTAATATTTGTATGTAGATTCACTCCTTTAAGGCGTTTCAGATTCGATACGTATGCCGTATTCGATTTGGTTTGTGAGGTTCTATTCGTTCTCTACAAAAAAACGACAGATTTACCCTTTGGGGATTTGTTCACTTTCTATTGAAGAAGGTTCTTTCTTCAATGTATTCTTCGGGTTTTGATAAGTGGACTCACATTATTCACATAGCTATTTGCGTACTATGACATACGTATATGTCGCGCTTATCGGGTTTACAGTCCCTCTTCTTGATCTATTGATGTCGTCTGTCATTGTCGAAGAACATTTCGAGGCAATCTAAACATTATTGTAATCGAGCCCATGGGGATATTAGCAACTCAAAGGAAGCACATTTTCAATGAATTAAGCATATGTGTTATGCTATAGATGGTGACTTACTTGTTGATTACCTTCCCGGGGCAGAGATGTCGCGGAGGATGCGGATGCAGGACTTTGAAAATATTGACTCAATTATCCGAAAATCGTTTTGCTCTGATACCAAAATGTAACACCCCAATTCATATAACCCGGAATTATACGAATTAAGGTGAAACGAGAGTTAAATAAAAATTTCACTTGACATTTGGAAATGACAATTTCTAATAAATATTAAATTTACAGACTCTGGATCGCGACCCATTTAAAAAAAAATATTTTCAGAGTAATGCGGAAGTACAATAATAATCAAATCATGACATATTTTAAAATCTGTTGATCAAACATTTGCCTGCTATCCTTGCATCTCCTCTGACTCGATGCCCTCCGGGAATGGTTCCATCATTGTCTTCTTGTTACCTACGTGTAGTCAACGAAAAATACAAACTACACGCTCAGTGAAACCGCTGAGTGGTACCACGCTAGAATTGTAGAATGATTCACAGACGTATACATATACATATATGTACGTCTAGAAATGTATAATAATATTCATGATATGGCACATTATATCATATGGTCAATTTGATGATTCATGATGATAAATATTTAATAATAATTACATGATGGCACAATTAATCAATTTGCTTGTGAGGATGATTACATGATACTCATATAATCAATATACTTGTTCTTGATGATGATTACATGACATCTATGTAATTGATGTACTTGATGATGATAACATGATGCGTAATTGATGTCACACATAGTCATGATGATTTTACTTGATGATGACTTCATGCTGTATGATTCTAAGTCGCAAGGACGAGCCTTGAACTATGAGATTCGCCCATTTGGTACGACGAACTCACGCAGAAATATGGGTGGTACTCGAAAANATTTGCTTGTGAGGATGATTACATGATACTCATATAATCCATATATACTTGTTCTTGATGATGATTACATGACATCTATGTAATTGATGTACTTGATGATGATAACATGATGCGTAATTGATGTCACACATAGTCATGATGATTTTACTTGATGATGACTTCATGCTGTATGATTCTAAGTCGCAAGGACGAGCCTTGAACTATGAGATTCGCCCATTTGGTACGACGAACTCACGCAGAAATATGGGTGGTACTCGAAAATCGAAGTACCATGTACGTACACTAAGCCCGGTCCGTGATGTCGGACTGCTAAGTCCCGCACAATCACAACTACAAGAGACTCACTTCAGCCTGATCTCTTGCGCATGCACATGATGTGATATGTTTCAATATGAATGATGAAATGAATCACATGATATGAACAATTTGTAAACAACATGATTGGATAAATATACTTTATTTTATTTGGATGTAATCTGATAAAAATATCATTTAATTAAGCTACGGGGCTCGGAACGGTCGACCGTTTGGCGCGACGGTCGACCGCGAAATTCATCGCGTCGAGTTCGGAGACCGTGACGGTCGACCGCGGTTGACCGGCGGTCGACCGTTGTTGACTGGAGGAAAAACGGCGGTCTTGACTGGGCAAGCGGCGGTCGACCGTTTGTCTGACAGTCTTGCTTCGTTTCGATGTTTAATACGACGGTTGACCGTTTACGTTGACCGTTCGGGTGTGCAAATCCTATTTTTGATATTTTGGATATTTAAAATACTTCTTTGAGTTATTTTAACACTTATGATTAACAAATCTATGTAGTTGACGCATTTCTAATATTTATATGTATCACATATTTATTTTTGGGATGATTTCAACATATGGATTAACATATATGTTCATGTACGCATGTGATGAATGATTCGACAAGTCTAACACAAAGGTACATACCTGGAAATCATCGGCCGAAACCTTACGGATGAGCGGGAGTGGAAACAACATCGAAATTTGCCAACTTTGTCATTTCCGTCACAACTGGACAGCTTGCGGTAATTTGGGCATATCTCCATCGTTTCTTCACGGAATTGCAAACCGTTTGATTCTTGGATTCCTAAGATGTAAGGCTACATTTTTTGTATAAAAAGTATTTCGTTTTAATAGACGTAACATAGCGTAAATTGGACCTGAAGTCAATGGAAAGTTGCTGTCCAGAATTTCGGGTATGTCGATGAACATGATTCCGACGATTAGCTCACTACCTTCAATGTTCCAATGTCGGACTTTCTCTACGATACCTTCCGGATGTTTCTAATAATTGTTAGAGAATTTATGGTAAGTATTTGGGATGAAATAATATGAATTTGGTGAAGAAAAACATGCCAACCCGAGGAACTCGCCACCACTGGTGCAGTCCCGGTATTTTGGCCATATCTTCTTCGTTACTTAACGAAATCGTGAGCCGTTGGTTGGGTTGGATTCGTAACATCCGGGGCTACGATTTTGGTATAATAAATAGTTCGAGAAAATGAATAGAGAATTACAGAATTGACGACGAAGTCGCTGCTGCGTTTTTCACTTAGGATTTTGGAACTTTTGGTACTTCTTCTTGCTCCTTCTTCTTCTTCTTGGCCTAGCAATGGAGTTGAGAATTCTTTTCTCCTTCCTTGATGCCTGACCGACAGAGAGAGAGTGTGAAGAGAGAGTGATTGAGTTGTGAATGTTAACTTTAACAAAATGGAGAGGGTTTTGGAGTGATATATAAAAGCAAGTTGGAGTTATTAGCTAGTGGAGAAGTTGATGGGTGTTTAGGAGGCTTGATTGAGGATTTGAAGGGATTGGGCTGCGTGATTGAAGACTTTTGGGAAGATTAAAATATTCTCCTACTCCGTAACCGATAAACTGGCTAAAACGGTACGCGCTTTTTCGCTCAAACTGCTCCGAATTGAAAATGGATTGTGTTTTTGGAATGAGACTGTCAAAACTAGAATTTTAATGTAGTCAAAATATTTTTCTGAGAACTTTTATTTTTATCAGCGTTCAGGTCTGTCTCAGTCATAAATAAATTTTAATAATATGAATGAGATAAAAATATATGAATTAAATTCAAATGATTAATATGATGTTGTCAAGGGTCAAAATTATGATTTCTAATCTTATGAAATCACTTTTGAATTGAGTTTATTTTATGGGTCAAAGTTACAAATTTTAATATTTAAAATTGACATAACTTGAAATCTATAAATCAAATTGGTTCATAAAATGTACTGTTGGATTCGTCTCTTCGAGACATATCCATAAAATAAGTTTTTAACAAAAAGTAATTATTTTGAAAATCCATTTATTTTTGGTCAAACGTATAAATATTCCTTATTGGACAAAAATTACTTTTGTTTTATAATAAATTTTAGGCCATATTTTGTGGCGTTACATGCCCCGTGTGGAGTAGGTTGCAATTGGCGGCCGAACCACATTAAATCTTGTGTCGTTTATTTTTCTGCAGTTGATTCGTGATTGTGTGTTGTTTCCGCATGCGTTTATCCCAACAAGTGGTATAGGAGCGTTGGTTCATTAAGACACCGAAAATCCGATCAGCAGAAACTAATCAGAGGAGTGTCATCTAAGAACCAGTTGCAGCAGCAGGAGCCGAAGTGAAGGCCGCTGCTGCCGCCGGAGCACCACCATCCCCGTCAATTCCCACGGAGCACTGCCGCGCTTGAATCGGAGAGCCGCAGCAGGAAGTAAGTCCCGTGAGACTCACCGCTGCCGCCTTCAAGCGGGCAGGTCCAGACCGCCGCCATCCGATTCGTGTCGCCGTCACTGGTTCCAGGGGGGACCGCAGCAAGCGAAGGAGCCGCTGCCGCCGTCACCCGCGCAGGAGCAGCCGCTGAGTCACCGCTGCCGGCGTCGATCTCCCTCCGCCGCCGGTTCTAAAGAAGGTGAGAGGCTTGGGCAGGTTGTTCGCTGTCATCCGCGAACAGCCGTAGCCTCCCCTCGTCAAGCCGCCGCCGTCCAGTACAGATCGCCTCCACCGTTTGCCTTCCGACCGCCGCACGCAGGAGCAGCGGCAGAAGGAGCCGCCGCCGCGTGGAGGAGCCGCCACCGTCCTCAGTCAAAGCTGTAGCTGCTGGTTCGAGCAGGTAGCCGTTGTAGTCTCCAGTCGCAGAGTGTCCAGAAGCTTCGCTGTGCAGTGGCCAAAAGGAATTTTTTTCTTTTGGCAAGTACTGCTGATCATTCCTATTCCATTTTGAGTAGAGTATTATTGTGGACCGTGACTTGTGGATTGAGTGAGGTAAATTATTGTAGTGGTGGGTCAGTGGCTATGAAGAAAAAAAAGGAGGTGGGGGCCATTGTGGAATTTTTTGGTGATAGTGGCGTGATTTTTTGTGGGTGGTGTTAATTTCTTAGTTGTACCGGATATCTCATCTTGTTGTTGGAGATGGCAGAAGATGGGAAGTTCCGAATTGAGAAGTTTGATGGTACAGATTTTAGTTGGTGGAGAATGCAAATTGAAGATTTGCTGGTACAAAAAGATTTGGATGTGGTTCTAGGTGACAAGCCAGAAAAGATGTCAGATGCAGATTGGGCAAGTTTGGATCGGAAAGCAATGTCCGTGATCCGACTCTCGTTGACCAAGAATGTTGCGTTCAACATTCTGAAGCAGACGACAGCGAAAGGCATTATGGAAGCGATGTCCAACATTTACGAGAAGCCATCTGCAGCAAACAAGGTGTTTCTAATTAAAGAATTGGTAAACACAAGGATGAAAAATGGCACTTCAGTTACCGAGCATATCAACAAGTTGAATTCGATCTTAGCCAGACTTTCGTCAGTGGGTATTAAGTTCGATGATGAAGTTCAAGGTCTACTACTGTTATCGTCATTGCCTGACAGTTGGTCCGGGACTATTACAGCAGTTACCAGTTCAGCGGGACCTGACGGATTCACTTTTGAGAAGATTCGTGACCTCGTTCTTGGCGAAGATGTCAGAAGAAGGAGTTCTGGTGAGTCTTCGGAAGAATCACTAAATATCGTTAGAGGCAGACGAAATAACAAAGGTAGTGGGAGCAAGAACAGATGAAGGAGTCAATCAAAGACTCGGGATAGCTCAGGCGTAACATGTTGGAAGTGCAAGGAGGTGGGGCATTTCAGGAATCAGTGCCCAAAAGAGGATAAACAAGTGAACATTGCTAGAGGCTCCGCGAGCGACGAGGATTTGTTTATCTGTTGTGCGGAGAGCAATGTAGATTCCTGGGTCATGGATTCTGGTGCTTCATTTCATGCTACCCACAGTGGTGAAGCATTGCAGAATCTAGTTGTTGGGGACTTTAGAAAGGTACAACTAGCAGGCGACAGAGCTCTTGATGTGACGGGCATGAGTGACATAGTGCTGAAGACCCTAGTCGGTTTCTGGACTTTGAAGGATGTCAGACTGGTTCCAGGCTTGAAGAAATGTTTGATTTCTGTCAGCCAGTTCGACGAACAGGGACACGAGGTGAAGTTTGGAAATGGGCAGTGGAAGGTCGTGAAGGGAAATCTTGTCATGGCCTGCGGAAGGAAGAGTGGGTCGCTGTACATGGTCGAGTTACCATCTGAGGAAGTGACCGTCCCAGTTTAGAAGAGAAACAAAGTCCGGTTCATAGAGTCTCGTGGGTAGAAGAAGGTTTTATATGCAAGAGAGAAACCCAGAGCCACAGGTCAGACTCATGTTGGACGAGCGAGGAAAGGTTCAAAGAGGCCAGTTAGAGGTATCTGTGGCAGTGGGAGCACAAGTGGTGCTTTAGCCAAGGTTCCTAGAAGACAATGGGTCCGGAGAACCAGTATTCCAGCTGTTGAAATGTCTCCAGAAGATTTCTTCTGACTATGGAGATTGTTTGTTCTCAAGATGTTCCAGGATCCGGCAGTGCATGTGTGCAGTGGGAGCCGGTAGGGACCGAGGACGAGTCAGGGGCAGTTCAAGCCATGACTGATGGGTTGAAACTCAAGAGAGTTTCAACAGAGTCTTCTCGATGATCAAGAAGGCTGGTGGCAACTAGAGGTGGTGGAATTTTGAGTTTCGTTATCAGATTACAGAAGTACATATGCACAGTTGAAGCGCAAGTGAACATTGTTCCGTGGCTTCAAGTGGGAGATTGTTGAGTGTGAAGCCAGGAAGCTAGGTGGAAGCTAGCAGGAAATTTGCAGGAAGCTACCTAGAAGCTTACGGCTTAATCATTGTCTCCCTAACTAATCTCTATTTAAGAGATGCTAATGTGCTTGTAATTGTGGTGCAACAAAAGTTGTAAAATCCTTCTAGTTGCCCCGTGTGGAGTAGGTTGCAATTGGCGGCCGAACCACATTAAATCTTGTTTCGTTTATTTTTCTGCAGTTGATTCGTGATTGTGTGTTGTTTCCGCGTGCGTTTATCCCAACAACATTCAATCACATTAGCATCACAATCATCATTTTCCAGACATCTCTCAGCTCTTGAAAGTCTCTCCTCTGCCTTGGCAACTTCATCAAAAATATTTCCAAAAACCTCCTTATTCCACTTAATAAGCTCCCTCTTAAGAACAACAAACTTATCAGCCAGTCCCCTCATACCCCCACCATAATAAGTCTGATCCCAAGAACGAGCGATACGATCCTTGAAAGAGCCATGAGAACACCAAACATTTAGAAACCTAAAAGGTTTAGGACCCATAGCGTCATTTGGAAAGGCCTTAAACAAAAGAGGCCTATATAAGAAAAACCACGTCCAAGATGTCTAATCTCCAAAACTGGAAATAAATCCATGCAATCTTCATTTAGCAAAACCCTATCAAGCCTTCGAAACAATCTCCCCCGACCTCTTTTACCAGTCCATGTAAAAGGACTCCCCAAGAATGAAGGAGTGACAAGCTCACAATTTGAAATGGCATTAGGAAAATCTCTAATACTCCCAAGGTCTGGACAAACCTCACCCTTATGTTCCGTAAGTGAAGCAACCGTATTAAAATCTCCCCCAATGATCCAAAGTCTAGACCTAGGAGCAAGGGATCTAAGAGAAGCCCAAAGCTCTTCCCTAAAAACTCTATTATGTAAGCCATAAACACTGGAGATCCACAAAAGGGAGGGAGAGGCTGCATACGTGAAACCACATGTAAGGATCTGGGATTCTTCAATAACAGTATGAAGGGATAAACATTCATCCTTCCAAAGAAACCAAAGCTTATTATCCAAAGCATAGAAACCCTTCAAAAACCCCAGCTTCAGTTTATACCATTCCAGCTGGTCACAATCCACCAAAGGTTCCAAAATAGAAAGAAACTGCAACTTATAAGTTTTAATGAGATAAAGAAGACGAGGAAGAGAAGAATGTACACCACGAATGTTCCAAAAGAGCCCAATCATGGAGAAACAAGAGGGGAAAATTTATTTGAGACCATTCTTCTTGTTACCATTGTATGGTTTCTAACCTTTGGCTTAGATACCTTAGAACTCAGGGCCGATGTAGGAGAAAGATTTAAAGTATTTTGCAGAGGGGGAAATTCCTCCAAGGATTGATATGCATCATCAATTTCTCTTCCTTTTGTAAAGAAACCCACTTCTGGTGTAGCATCCTTTGGAAGTTCTTCATCTGGATCCTTAAAAGGAAGAATAGCCATAGTGTCGTCCCTAGACATCAATGGCGTACACGGAGGAAATAAAACTGCATGTAGACTTTGCATGGTAAAGATAGACAGAAGATCAGGATTTGATACAGTAAAAGAGCCCTCCTTTGGCAGTAGAGAAAAGTCACTACTAGGTTCCATGCAGGCTTGAGCTGGGTCCCCCACACTAGACGGTTCACCAGGACCTTCACACCAAGGGACCAATTGCATGAGATTTGGACGTGCCTTTTCCTTCCACACCATAACAGGTTGTTTGGCCTTGCCCTTCTTAAGTGTAACCACTTGCCATGCAGAATCTTGCTGCACTCCATGAGGCTGAGAACAACCCCCTCCCTTCTAATTTAAATGCTTAGGTTGAACCAGGGGCGGACCTATGGTTGTGCAAGTGGGGTCAATTGCACCCACTCCAAAAAAAATTATTTATTAATAGTAGTATCTAATTAGGTATCATATGTAGACTAAGGGCATCCAAGAAGAATATATTTATATTTGATTAGATGCTATTTTTTTAAAAAATGGAACAGAGAACACCTTTTATAATTGTGTAGAATTTTATGTTTTAATTATTTTAGATTTAGAAAATTGATTTAACTTTAATTATGAAACTTAATTTTAAAATGTTCAATTTTTTTGAAATGTATGAACAATTTTAATTGTTTTAAAAAGATTCCTAAAATATACTCCCTCCGTCCTGAAAACATGTCTCCTTCCTTTTTTCATCCGTCCCAAAAAACATTTCTCATTTCTATTAAAAAGTCACTTTTATCTCAGAATGCTATTTATTGATACTTTTTTACCTTGTTTTAAATTTATTGCTATACAAATATCAACATTTTCTTTTTGTGCACAAAATGTGAACCCACTCACCGAAATTCCTAGGTCCGCCACTAGGTTGAACCAAGGGACAACTTTCCTTTAGATGACCAATCTTAAGACAAGCCATACAGAATATAATGGAGGCACATTCTCATAATAAAAGTGAACAAGCAAGTTTTCCTCCCCATGTTGAACATGAATTTTCACAGGTGGTAAATTTGAGACATCAACCTCAAGACAACATCGCGCAAGCTGTGGCCTGGAAAAATTGAGCATACAAGAATCAACTTGCAGTGGTCTGCCAATAGAGGATGCTAGAAGATGCAAGGCTCTCTTATCATGCAAATGGATTGGCAAGTCTGGAAAGGGCAATCCAAAGGGGAAGAATTGGGCTTTCATAATCAGAAGAGAGAGAAGGACTCCATTTAGACAAAATCATGGTGCTCCCAAAGACTTTCCAGGTACGCCGTAGAAATAAACGCACATAATCTTCCTCCTTCTAAAGGTTAATAAGAAAACGTTTGTCAGATAATATGGTGATGTCAAAAGTACCAAGGAAACCAAGCTTCTGCATGAAAGATTTCATGGAGACAAAGGATGGACGAGATTGAAATGTTGCCACGAGCGCATGTTTGAAACGCATCGATAATTCTGAGATGTCATTCTGATCTTCGTAAAAGAGATAGATGGAATACCATTCTGATATCCCGTAGTCTTCCCTTCCAAAGGCTTTACCGATGAGCTCTTTGCAATGACATCAGAGAAAAGTTGGTTAAGACCTCTAGCAGGAGCAGCAGCTGCATATGCCGGTGCGAACGCCAGAGAAGAACCTCGATCGTCGGTGCTAGGGTTTTCCATCGTTCATACATGATATATATATATATATATATATATATACATATATATATATATATATATATATATATATATATATATATATATATATATATATAACCAAACAAGAGGTTTTTTATTCATTAAAAAGGAGAAAGGTACATAAGGGGAGGTGGCCGTCCCCAACACACGCCCAAAGCAACAACAGGAGAAAAAATCCAAAACACTAAAGAAAGGAACAGACCAGAACAAAAGAGAAACAAGAAAACCCATAAACTGTCAAACAACACTATAATTAAAGCTCACTACCAGCAAGAACCAAATAAAAGCATGGCCCGAGTTCTGGTCTTGCATTCTGTTCCTTCTGCTTGTAAACATCAGCATCCAGAAATTCCACCACATCCACAAAGCTCTCAAGAAACTGCTGCATTAAACAAGAACCCAACTTTGAATAGGAAACTACAGCTTTGAAGAAGAACCCATCATTGAACAGGAAACTGCAGCATTGAACAAGAACCTAGCATTGAACAAGAACACAACATTTTGGATTAGTGTAGCAACTGATCCATTCTTGAAAAACTACTGACCAAGAAACGATAATAAGCATCAATCCACGGCTCATCTATTTCTTCTTTTGCTTCTTTTCCCACTTCTCAAAAGTTGGTTATCGTTGGTAGGCTGTCCAAATTTCTTCTTAGAATTTTTGTTCCTTTTTTCTTGTTTACCCATGAATATTGCATCCTCATCCACAAAAGCAAGGTCATTATCAATGTCGTCTTCATGTTGTACGTCACTATCCGCTATTTTCCCCTCCTCCGTGCAGTGAGACTCTTCTCTTCCATTCACCACCAAGGGCAAATCAATGAGGATGATTGGCTTAGAGCATTCATAAGCCAATTTCAAGTCTAATACTTAGTGGAGTAGCCTTAATTGTATCTTCCTCCTTTGGCATTGACAATGCCTTCAACTCCTTAAGTGATTTACCTTGTTTAACTTGGATACCGACCATTACCCTTCTGTAAATTTGATCCATCATGATTGCTCTGATCAATGGGTTTAGGTTGGTTTAAACCTTGAAAAGCTGGTCAGAAAGGAAGAGCCTGAACATTGAGGACTCCAGGAGGCTTTGACTTAATAGGTAACGTTAATATACTTGACTTAGGTTGTTGGTCACAAGCAGAACGATATGCACCGGTAGTATATTGGACCAGATTGTGAAGAGATACTGAGCCTGAGCTATCTGCTGGATCATTTGTCACTGGGGGACTGCAACTAGGAATTGTGCGAGGATGTACACTAGGGGTCTCTGCAATTCTAGTTTGGTGTTCAAAACCTTTGTCTTTTGCTGCACTGGTTATGCACTGATCTGTTTCAATTGTCCTCGAAGCCCTGACTGCACCCATAGATGAACTCAATAGATGACTAGCTTTAGAATCAGGAGTCCGTTCCTTTATCCCAGTTAAATTCTTCAGATCTGAATTCTGTTTCTCATGACCTCTAGGCTTTGAAATAATTGCTAAATGTGCTTTATTGAGATCACAAGATGAAGGCAGATCCTCAGCATGTAGACTTTCAGCACTGGTGGTTGCTTCCTTTTGAAAAGAGGCAGGTGGTAGTTTAGCAGCCATATTCTGTATTGAAGAACTAGCAGTTGGGACCCAAATAGGATTTGCACCTTTTGATTGTGTTATTAAACATGGCTGTTTAGTTTCAGAGAGGGCCATTAGGTCATCTCCAACACTTCTGCCCACATCTAGTTGAACATCAGCTTTCTCATTGTTAGAAATAGTCTCACCTGTGGTCTTGCTATTAGAAAGAACCAAACCAATAATCCCTTTTCCCACCATAGTTGTTTTGTGCTTAAACCAAAGCCATGCCTTAATCAAATGAGCAAGAAAGAACCTAAAACCAAACCTACTACAACCCTCAGGAACATGAATAGATGTATAACCATTAACATGTTTCTCCACAATTTGTTGGACATTTTCGGACATAAATTGGACATTTTCGGACATAAATTCGGTTGGGTCCACAAAATTATTTTCCAAAATAATTATGGACGATTAATCTCGTAAGTAAGACGAACGTCTTGATATATGACACATCATAAACGGTGCTCGGGTGAATGAGAAATTAATTGTCAAAGTTGAATGCTAAGGTAGTGTAAATGCCTTTGTCCCACACCGGTTTCTAAACCTTTCGTATTCTCATATTTAAGCTTAGGCTTTGAAATGAGCTTATGAAAGGAACAAGAAGAGGACTCCTCGCACGCCCGCCACCGCCACCGCCCGTCCAGCTCGGCACGACACAACATGCGCGGGTCGGGTCGGGGCTAAGCGAGGCGAGGCGAGGCGAGGCGCGTCTGCGGCGGGGCGGGGCTAATTTTTTACGAGATCGAATTAAACACGTCTGGACACTTCGTGATTAACGAAGTGCCGTCCAAAAGGCATGCATGCACAAGGGAGGCGAAGGGGGTGCCATGGCACCTCGTAATCTCCGATGGTCCATTGAAGAGCCAAAAATTCCCTCCTATAAAAGGAGGGCTTGGCTGTAGGAGAAGAACACACTCGAAACACTTCTCTCTCAGTTACTCGTATACTCTTCCGACAATACCTAGTTTCCGATCATCTTCTCCGTCCATAGCTCTTCGTCATTCTCGTTCGCCGGTGCTCTGTTTTACCGCTCTAGACTTAGCACGTTGCAGTTTTATCCTGGGAGGAGATTGCCCATGTTTGGCCAGTGCGGGAGGCGGGCAATACTACCTTAAGGAAAGCTTCGGCCACTCCGCTTTCCTAACCTTCACTTCGAGAAACTGCTCCGGCGACTCACAACCTTCGTCTGAAGTCACTACCTTGTTGTCCGTTCGCGTTCGAGCTCCCGAAAACTCCAAGTTTTATTTTTTTTATTTTTGTTGTAAAATCCGAACGTTTTATAAGTTCGGATTATTTTATTTTTTGTTTTTCCCGCTATAATTTTTTTTCAACAATCTTAAGGTAGTAGCGATGGAGTTCGGATTCGGCATCATGGGTTCCTCCGGCAACGGAATAAGTTCCGAAATTCCGGTGGAAACCTCTTCGGTCGCCATGGTTGTGCCGTCCTCACCACTACCCTTCGGGGCAAGTGTGGGGGCCGCAACCATGACGTCGTTTTCAATGCCGAGCTCGATCTTTGGGTCGGCCCCTCGACCCATTCCCGGGCTCAAAACCACGTGGGATCACCCCGTCGGTAATTCAAACCCGTTTCTCGGACCGACTATGGCTTCGGCCTCGACGGTCAACTTTGGACCGAACGGGGGCTTTCCCACACCGGTCAACGTAGGACCGAACACGGGTTTCCCCACACCGGTCAATCCATTCGTTGGACCCCATTGGGCGACTAACGGGCCTTTCCTCCACACGCCCAATGCAGTTGGGCCGATTTCGGTGCCTGCTAGTTCGATTCAAAGGCCACCGAAGTTCAATGGGACGAACTTCAAAATGTGGCAACAAAAGATGATGTTCTTCATGACTGTCTTGGGATTTGCTGAGTACCTGCAGCAAGATCCCCCCAGCCCAATGAAGCCAACGACCCCCTCGTGGCGATGGTGAACCAAGCATGGTACCACAACAACTATCTCGCCATCAACATTATCCTGGAGGGGTTGGGAGATTCGATGTACCCCGTCTACGCCGGTGCAACACTCGCCAAGGAGCTTTGGAATAGCTTGAACAAAAAGTATCAAGCTGAAGATGCCGGCACGAAGAAGTTCATCGTCGGGAAGATGTTGGACTACAAGATGGTCGACAACAAATCTGTTGTCGCCCAGGCTGAGGAGCTAACGGTAATCTTCAACAAATGCAATGAAGAAAAAGTAGGCGAGGCCTTCCAAGTGGCGGCCATCATCCACAAACTTCCCAGGTCGTGGGAAGACTTCCAAGCCGACCTCAAGCTCAAGAGAACGGAGCTGAACTTGGAGCAACTGCTCACGCGGTTGAGGATCCGAGAGGAAGGGCTTGCTAGAAGAAATGGAGGGGCAAAGGCGAATGTTGTAGAACATCCGTCGGGCTCTTCACATGGCGGGAAGGACAAGAAGAAAATGTGTCCTAAGGGTGGTGTTTCTAAATTTGCAGGAAAGTGCTACAATTGTGGCATTACTGGGCATCGTTCCTCCGATTGTAGGAAAAAGAAGCCACAAAAGGGAAAGAAGAAAACCACCGAAGCTATGTGCGCAGAGCTCGACAACCTGGACCTCTGCGCAGTCGTCACCGAGGTGAATCTCGTCGGGTCAAACCCGAAGGAATGGTTTGTGGACACAGGAGCCACACGCCATATTTTTTCAAATCGGAGCATGTTTCACGACTTCCAAGAGACCTCCGGTAACAAGGTGTGGATGGGCAATTCGGCCCAATCAGAGGTTCAAGGAATTGGAAAGATCAAGCTGAAAATGACCTCCGGCAAGGAGCTCACGCTCAACGACGTGCTCTATGTGCTAGACATTCGCAAGAATTTAGTGTCGGGGTCGTTGCTGATCAAACACGGCTTTCGGATGGTGTTTGAATCAGACAAGCTAATCTTATCCAAGAAAGGGATTTTTATTGGGAAAGGTTACATTTCTGATGGGCTAGTAAAGCTCAATGTAATGACTGTTCATGAAAAGATCAATAAAAATCCTCTTGCTTATGTGTGTGAGTCTTCTAGTTTATGGCATAGTAGACTAGGACATGTTAATTATACATCTCTCTGGAAATTAATTAACATGGAACACATACCTAAGTTTAGTATTGACCTAACCCACAAGTGCGAAACTTGTGTTGAGGCTAAGTCAACTCGAAGTTCGTTTCAAACGATCGAACGGAACACTCAACCTCTAGAGTTGGTTCACACCGACTTGTGTGATTTTCGAACAACGCCTTCAAGAGGGGGTAATAAGTACTTTATTACCTTCGTCGATGATAGCACGAAATATTGCTATATCTATTTACTAAAAAGTAAAGATGAAGCGTTAGACACTTTCGTTCGATATAAGAATGAAGTGGAAAATCAACTCAATCGCAAGATAAAAGCATTGAGAAGCGATAGAGGTGGTGAGTATGATGCTCCACTTTAATGAGTTTTGTGCACAACATGGAATTGTGCATCAAGTAACCCCACCGTATACACCACAGTCTAACGGAGTAGCGGAGCGTAAGAATCGCACTCTAAAAGACATGATGAATGCGATGCTGCTTAGTTCTGGATTACCTTAGAACATGTGGGGGGAGGCTTTTTTATCAAGTAATTATTTACTAAATAAAATACCTCGTAAGAAACTTGACAAAACTCCGTATGAACTTTGGCATAATAGGAAACCTTCCTATAAGTATCTCAAAGTGTGGGGGTGTCTCGTGAAAGTACTTGCACCACCACCGAAGAAGATGAAGATCGGTTCAAAAACAGTTGATGGAATCTTCATCGGGTACAGTAGTACGTCATACCGGTTCTTGGTGTATAAATCAGATAATCCTGAAATTCGCAAGAACACAATCATCGAGTCATGGAATGCAACGTTTTTTGAGCATATTTTTCCGTGCAAGTCAAGTGACGAAGCCAGTTCGTCCAAACGTTCTCATACTGAGATGATGGATAACGATGATCCAAATCAGTTGAATTCCGGTGACGATGATGAAGTCGAACATGAGACTGAATTGAGACGAAGTAAAAGAATACGAACTGAAAAGACGTTCGGTTCTGACTTCATAACATATCTGATAGAATTTGACAAAGGAACTTTGTCATTTCTAATGGAAAATGAACCCGATATTCTAACCTGTTTGGTAGAAAAAGAATCACGAACCTATCACGAGGCCGTAACCTCAACTGAGGGACCTCAGTGGCAAGAGGCCATAAAGAGTGAAGTTGATTCTATCCTTCAGAATCACACGTGGGAACTGGTTGATCTCCCTCCAGGGTGTAAGCCATTAGGTTCCAAATGGGTCTTTCTGAGGAAAATGAAGCCTCACGGCTCCATTGACAAGTACAAAGCTAGACTTGTGATCAAGGGGTATAGCCAACGTGAGGGCTATGACTACTTTGATACTTACGCGCCTGTGACTAGGATAGATTCTATCAGAATGACCATCGCATTTGCATCCTTACGAAACTTGGATGTTTACCAAATGGACGTGAAGACAGCTTTTCTAAATGGCGAACTAGATGAAGAAATCTATATGGAACAACCCAAAGGGTTTAAGGTTCCGGGCCAAGAAAAGAAGGCCTGCAAACTTGCGAAATCATTATACGGTCTTAAACAAGCGCCAGAAGTATGGCATGATAAGTTTGACGAGGTAATGATGAGCAACGGTTTTAAGATAAATGAGTCGGATAAGTGCGTATACTTTAAGGACACATCTGAAGGATATGTCATTTTATGTCTGTACGTAGACGATATACTCATCGTTGGAAGCAACGATAGGATGGTCAAGTCCACCAAGGACATGTTGAACGCACGATTCGATATGAAAGATTTGGGTCTGGCTGATGTGATTCTTGGAATCAAAATACTAAGAAGACCAGATGGTCTGAGCTTGAGCCAATCCCACTACATTGACAAGATCCTTGAGAAATTTAACAAGGATGATACAAAGATAGCTAAGACGCCGATAGACGTAAATGTTCACCTTGGTAAACACCGAGGGAGTAGCGATTCTCAGACAGAATACGCTAGAGTCATCGGAAGTCTGATGTATCTAATGAGTTGTACACGGCCAGATTTAGCTTGCGCCATTAGCAAACTAAGTAGGTATACTAGCAATCCGAGTGCTGAGCACTGGAAGGCCATAGTCCGAGTAATGAGATACCTTCGTTATACTAGAGACTATAGCCTATGCTATGACAGGTATCCACCCGTGTTGGAAGGATACATTGATGCCAATTGGATTGCGGATAATAAGGATTCAAAATCCAGAAGCAGATTTATCTTTATGCTAGCCGGTGCAACTGTTTCTTGGAAATCCTCAAAACAAACGTTAATTGCCAGATCCACCGTGGAATCTGAATTCATAGCACTAGACAAGTGTGCAGAACATGCCGAGTGGCTTCGGAATCTACTTGAGGATATTCCAAACTGGGAAAAACCAATTCCTCCTATTTGCATTTATTGTGACTGTCAGTCAGCAATAGGACGAGCTCAAAACAAATTGTATAATGGTAAGTCTAGGCACATTCGCCGTAGACACAAAACCATTAGGCAACTTCTCAATACGAGTATTATCTCGATTGACTATGTCAAGTCGAAGGATAACTTAGCGGATCCATTAACCAAAGGGTTAACCAATGAGCAACATGAGAAGTTAGTGGTAGGAATGGGTCTGAAAGCCCTACCTTGTGCTGGGAACGTTCCATGAAGGAAAACCCAACCTGGGTGGTACCTGGGTTCAATGGGACAACCTACTTGTGGAACGAAGCACGGTCACTGTGGGGGCAAGCCGGATCACCGACTTAACACCCCTCCATTCCTACTGAGATATAGTGACTCCCGAAAACGATGAGGTTAGCATGGTGCTTTAATGATTCTTGAACTATGGACAACGAGGTCCAAGTGGAGTAATCAGGATACTCTTAGAAGAATCACCTATGTAAGAGTGAAGTGCGGTCGCTTCAACAGAAGGATTTCGGGCTGATCCTGTCTGACACTCTCGCAGAACCAGATGCGTGTTCCACGACCATAATGGGCACACCCATGAGAATGGAATGATGGTTGGTTGAAACTTGTGTATTGTATATCGTCGTTTATATATATATATATATATATATATATATATATATATATATATATATATGGGATTGACTCCAGTCAGATGACATGTTTCGGTCAGATGACACTTTCGGTCAGATGACAACGTATTGCTCATTCTAAATCAACGTAGCGCTCATTCTAAAACAATATAGGATTCATTCTCACAAAACTGTTCATCACAATGTAGTGTTCATTCCAAGTCAGCAAGACGACAACATATGGTTCATTTTGAATCCATGTAGTGTTCACTCTAAGACATTGTAGGGTTGATTTTAGTACTCATTCTGAAACAATCTAGTACTCATTCACAAACTTCTAAGTGTAGTGTTCATTCTAAAATAAGGTGGTGCTCATTCTCAAACAATGTGGTGCTCATTCTGAAGCATGTCATCTGACCGAAAGATGTCATCTAACTGGAGTCAATCCCTATATATATATATATATATATATATATATATATATATATATGGGATTGACTCCAGTCAGATGACATGTTTCGGTCAGATGACACTTTCGGTCAGATGACAATGCATGGCTCATTCTGAATCAATGTAGCGCTCATTCTTAAACAACGTAGGATTCATTCTCACACAACTACTCATCACAATGTAGTGTTCATTCCAAGCCAGCGAGACGACAACATAGGGTTCATTTTGAATCCACGTGGTGTTCATTCTAAGACATCATAGAGTTGATTTTCACACACTTGTTCATTATAAACGTAGTACTCATTCTGAAACAACCGAGTACTCATTCACAATCTGCTCAGAGTAGTGTTCATTCTAAAATAAGGTTGTGCTCATTCTCAAACAAGGTGGTGCTCATTCTGAAGCATGTCATCTGACCGAAAGTGTCATCTGACCGAAAGATGTCATATGACTGGAGTCAATCCCTATATATATATATATATATATACATATATATATATATATATATATATATAGATTTTGGGTCAAATAAGAATGAAATCTAATGAAAGAAATAAGAATGAATTATAGCCATTGGATCTACATCTCATCCGTTCCTTTTTCATTCTTTTCACAAGGACATTTTAGGATTTTCAACCACAATCATTATTTCCTTATCAGTTGCTCTTCTTCTCCATAAAATCTATTTACGATCTTCTCTCTTTTCAGTTTTCATTTTCCTTAGTTATTTGGCTATGGGATTTTCAATTATTGAATTGTATCTTCATCGAAAATAATGAGCAAGCCATTTTTGTAGGATCCCTCCAAGAATTCAACCTGGTATGTTACTAAAAAAATTTTCATTCATAAATGACATAATATATTATTAGATTTCCCAATTGAATTATTTGCATAATTAATTCCATATTTGGTTTATCTTAGTTTTTTTAATTTGTCACCAATTACTCCCTCCGTCCTATAATGATCTTCCCGGTTCACAAAACGAAGAAAAATCCCAAGTTTTTTCAATCTATTTTATTTAAATATTGGTATAGAAATAAAAAATAAAACATACATATTTAAAAACTATACCAAAAGTTCAACAAAACAAGTGGTGACAAGAATATTTTATTTTATCATATAGGCCATGAAAAAATACAAATAAATATAAATTCCCGTGAAGTTGGAATAGTGCTCTGGGAAGATCATTATAGGACGGAGGGAGTATTTGATAACATCGCTGATTTTTATTCAGGAAGTGAGTTTGATTTTCGGATTTAGAAATAATTTTTTTCCATTCATTTTGAATTTTCCAACTTTGGATCATGGGTTATTACTTATTTAATGTTGAATCGTACCCACAATATTCTCAATTTTGATCTGTTTTCATCCATTTTGAGTGGAGTTTGTGGATTTTAAACCATCCATTGATGTGAATTCATTTATTTGCGGTTGTGTTACTTCACATTTCTAACCTTGGAAAGATGTTTTACATTATTAAACATACATTTTTAAAATTCTTTTTGGTATAGTTTTTTTTCTAGGGGATGTCATTCTTATTGCATTGTAATACACTTTTAGTTGTTTTTACCGCACCCAATTACCAACTCTATATTCACTTTGGGCATGAATAAAATCTCTTCTATAGCATGAATACATATATAATATGCCTTAGTGCATATTAAGATAATCTTATAGCCTTATATTTTAGAGTGTCCAAAATTGTGTTTTAGTTAAATGTAAAGTGAATATAGCATGAATACATATATAATATGCCTTAGTGCATATTAAGATAATCTTATAGCCTTATATTTTAGAGTGTCCAAAATTGTGTTTTAGGTAAATGTAAAGTGAATTTGTTTTTTATAATAGGTTTGGTCTTGCTTAATTTTTTGCATTCTATCTAGCATAATTTTAGTCAATATTGCGATCCAATATTAAGGTTTTTGATGCAGTGTGATGCAAACTCTAACAGACACTGAGTGCAGTGTCAATATAAAGTCTGCATGAGTTTCTCTATTTTTGTTATTGTGCATTATTATATCTAGGTAATGCATTCTCATTATAAAACAATGCATTCTCATAATTAAGGTAAATGATAATACATTCTCAAAATCGTAGTGAAATTCATCTATCTAACAAAATTATAACTACATAAATATGATGCATCAATATATTCTAATAGGGATGCATTTAAAAAGTTTTGTAATACATTTGAACATTGGTATGAAACAAGTTGGATGGTTTCAATTTTAAAATATTAAAATACTCCCTCTGTCCCCGAGTGTTTGTCCACTTTCATTTTTGCACACCATCCAATGCACTTTTTTAATCCATTTTATCTTGTAATTTGTATATTAAAAAATTATAAAAATTATATATTAATAATCTATATGTTAAGACGAATCAAACAAGATCACACATGACTATTTTTAGGCTTACATATTAAGAGAATTTGATGAGTCAAAGTTCTTAGATGAACAGTTCCAAAAGTCAAAAGTGGACAAACACTCAGGGACGGACCAAGTACATATTTATTAGGTCAAAGTGCAAGATATAAATTAAATCTCCTTAAAAACATTAAATCATTGCCTATTAGCTCAAATGGTAGAGCGGTATGTAGTACAGATGTGGGTTCAAATCCTACATAGGCAAATTATTTCTCTAATTTATATTATGCTTGTTTGGAATAAAATGCATTCTCAGAAGTCATTATTCACTACTCCACAAGCCATTAGAATAAATTTTTAAAAATATTTAAAAAGCAACTTTTAGTGCATATATCTGCAATCACAGCACATTCATAAATCTTACTTTTCTTACTTTGAAATCTAAGAAAGAATATCAAAATTTTATATTCAATATTGGTGTCGTTAGGTAGATTTCGATGAGAGATTTCCAACCACATATTATTTATCAAGGTAATACTTATGTACAAAAAGTTATGTACAAAATAAATAATGCATTAGAATAAATAAATAATATGAAATTAATATTATATTACTCCGTATAATATAATGCACGTAGAAGGTGGAATACAGCTCATTAAATAAGCTTGTGAATTTACCTTCATGCCCTCTGTAAATAAATAGATCCTAATTTCATGGGCAGCATTTATGGATTTCCTTTTTAAATTGTGGAGATTAATAGAGATTTTGGTTTTCTTACTGCCGTACGATCCATCCAATCCAACACATACTATTCATTCTTATTTCTTTCATTATAAGTGCATTCTTATTAGAACCCAAACCCCTATATATATATATATATATATATATATATATATATATATATATATATATATATATATATATATATATATATATATCAAAAATGGTTTTAGAGAGAGGCTGGAGAGCTCCTCCGCCGGCGGCCATCTTTTATCCTGGATATTTCTCAGCTCCGCCATTTATACACGGAAAGAAGCTGCAAGGTCCTAATCCTGATCACCCCTCTTCGTCTTCTGCTATCGCAGCCGCTACCCTACCCCGGTCAATCATCCATGGAGACATATCAGAATCAGACAGATCTCTCCACCTCCACCCTACGCCGGTCATCGTGGACCTCGGAATTCAAAACCCACTATCAGAGATCCAAGAGAGAGATACACCCGCAGGTCCATTCAAGTTCAGAATCGAAGGTAAGATTTTCTCTTTTACTCTCTCGAGATTCAACAAGAAACTATGCATCACCGAATTTCATGGGAAGAAACGATTCAATATCTGGTTGGGCCTAGATCTCTGCTCTTGGCTACTAGAATCCCTAACTCATTTTTCTATCCAAGGATCTTTAAATTCAGTGGCTAAGAGAGAAGAGAGTAGATCCATTTCTTTCAGTTTCCGTTCTCATAGAACCAGAAACTTCATTAAGATATGCGAGCATCATAGAGATGGCAGGACCTGGATCTTCATTCCCGAAGGTAACCAAGGCAATGGATTCACCACATTCACCCACTGCTTCAAAAAAGCCTATGACACACTTAAGTCTTCCATTCCCCTACCCCAACCTTTCATAGATATGGCCATTATCTGCTCTCAGAACTCACAGCCCTCACAATCCCAAGCTCTTTCTATTTCACAGAGCCTTCTCAGCTTGGAGATCCCGTTAGATACCCTCTATAATCCAATTGAATTCAGTAAGACTTTAAATCCCTCAACGCCTTCGAAGCTTACACCAGTGTCTTCTCCCATAGCACTTGCTGTTTCAAATCCCCCCTCTATCCACTTGACCATTCCAGCCCAAACGTCTTCTCTTTCCGCATTAGCTGCTGCTTTTGTTCCCATCAACACACACCAAGATACCTCTAAAGTGGCTCCCCACTTCCTTGGTTGTTCCAATTCAGACAATGAGCTAGAGAGCCCAAATTGGAACGTAAACTACAACTCCGATCCTGATATCCAACCCTTGGGAAATACTCTTCATATACCATCAGCGGAATCAGAGGAAGAATGGATCACGGATAGAGGTTCTGAAGAGGAGGAAAATTGGCATGTGAAGACAGAAGCAATCAAGAAAAGAAACCAAAGGAAATTCGACAAACTTTGCCAAAAGCTACATGAATCTCCTCGTCCTCGTAGAAGTAAAAGGCTCTCGGATCTAAGAGCAAAGCTTACTCATGAAAAAGGCATGCTTTTTTGAGATGCTTACTCTGATTTCTTGTTTACAGTTGGCTATGAATTTCTTTTCCAACGATGCTGACAGGGATTTGAAGGTTTAGCATACAGCTGCACCTTCCTCCTTTACATTGGTTAATTATGCACATTAATCTGGGACCTCCATACAAATCAGGTTATTGATTTTACTAGGCATGTTAGAGAATTTGTTCTAGTCTACCTTTGCTCATCACAGGTCATTTGGCATGTTTACTAGTCTCTCGAGGCCCTGGGCAGTAGCAGGAGGACTCAATCTGCAGAATTTGCAAACTCTATTTCACTCTATACTTCATGTACTGCGCACATTATGATTCAATCATGGGAAGTAATAATCAAACATTCCCTCATTTGATGCATTTGGAATACCTCCCAAAGGATATGGACAACAACGGATAAGTGGCAAGCCTAGTGAACCCCACTTCTGTCTGGACTCCTTAGTTATTCTTGTAGTTTTATTGTTGTTTTGGCTCTTGTAGTGCAGTGAATTTTCAGGCCTTGTAGGGGTCCGGCCACCCCCCCTCCTTTTGTACTTTCTGTTTATTTCTTTCTCTTTCAATAAAAATATTCCTTAATATATATATATATATATATATATATATATATATATATATATATATATATATACATATTGCTTGCCGACCAGAGAGTCGTTTTACAGGGTCAGAGCGAGATAGCCTGTTCATGGCCTAGCAAGAACATTCGTTTTAGATTCAGAATTCTAAATAAGGTATTCGAGCTTTTTTACTCGTTCTACAATAAGACTTTTAGCATTACAGATAGGGGGAGAAGACACTTTCATATATGGTTTGATCTAGATTCAATCAATTGGGTTCTAGAAACTCTTCCTAGATTGATTTCGGGTTTGGCTTGGGCTTGTGTTAAATTGGATGTTCAAAGATCACTAGAAGCTGCAATTGATTCAAATCATAGGGGGGATTTTATAAGGATTTTGGAATCTAGAAATGAAGGAAATAGATTCATTCATATCCCATGGGGAATTTATAACGAGGGACCTCAGTTGTTTTTTAAGGCTCCTTCGACCTTTGTTGAAAGAGCACTGCAGTGTGGCAAGGTTAGGGACAATGGGTTAGAAACAACAAAACCAGGTGATATCCTTAAGGTTGCAGTTGTAGGGGATACTGTGTTTGATGCTCATAAAAGTCCCTCTCTTGATTCTAAGGACAGGATTGAACATGATGCAAAGCAATTGCATTCAAGCTTACTTCTGAACACATACAATGGAGAGGCACCTTCTGAAATATCTTCTGATCCCCATTTTAGCAGCCTGCCCAGACCAGATCTATCACAAGAGCAGTTAGAATCAAATCAAATTGGCGATCCTGATAAGCAGGAGCTTAGTCTTGATTTGAGTTCTTCTTTGGTTGAATCTGATAAGCTGGAGGGGAACATTCCTACAGAGGAGGCTACCCAACGATATAATATTCAATACCTCCCACTTCCAAGGGTGCTTTTATCACCATTTGCTGCTGAATTCATCCCCTTAATGCCCAACCCTTATGCCGCTCTTTTTAATCATGTGGAAGGCCTCGGGAATAACATCTCACTCAAGGATGATGAATTTGACAAGTTTGATGATGGGAACAGGGTTCTCTGCAACAATGCATTAGAAGAAATTAGGGATGAAAGAGATGGGCTAATTTTGTACACACACTCGGAAGGAGAAGACAAGGCCTTCAATGATAACAGCCTTAAACCTCTACAAATAGATTACTCCAGGATGTTCAACACACCTTTTGACTTGGGAAGAGATTACAAGGGAAGGCGCATCTACTCTCCTTCGCAAATAGTTACCAGAAGTAGGGCTAAGCTTTTAAAGGAAGGAAGAAAGAAAACCCCTATTGGGTGGGAGGAAGGGTCAGACTCTTCAGAGGTTCCCTATGCAGATGACATTAGAAATTTCTTCAAGCTTTGTTGTCCAAATAAGCCAGAAAAACCTCTTCAGAAGCAATCTTCGAATAAACCTTTAACCAAAAGCCAAAAGAAAAAGTCTAAGAAGAGACTTAAGAAAAAGAAGGGGTCAGGGCTTGATATAGTAGAATCAGATTAATCAAGCTGGTCTTTAATAGTTTCTTGGGGTCATATACTACTTTTGGAATCTGTGTTATAACCGGGTTACTTTACCCATATGGTGCTTTTCTCTTCACTGATCTTAAGCCTAGATATAATTTGAGAGCTGATGAACAGCTGGTTGCCGAATTCCTCTCAGGTTAAATCGGCTCATCTTCTGAGTTGCTGGGCTTAGCTTTTGTTATAGTTCTACTATGGCTTTTGCTTCTTGGATTGCACTGATGATAGTCTTAGGTCTGTTTTGCATACTCAAGCTTTGATGAAGAATGTAGGATAGTTGATTTGGCTCCTATACCTTGATGTCTTAACATACTTGAGCTGGTTTTTTTTGTTCTCTGGGTCTGTTCACTGCATTCGGTCAGTTTCTTAGGCTCGTATGGTTTTTTAGGCTTTTCTTTTTCACTTAAGGAGAACTTTTCCAAGTTATGCAGCAGCTTTTGTGGAACGGGCTCTGTTGCTGTTTTGAAGAAGGATTGAACAACATGAACTGTCGGGCAACAGGTTGGGGGCCTCCTACGGGTCTGTCTTCTTGTGTTCACATGCTAATAATTGGAGTCTTTGAAGACCCACTTTTGGGGTTGCATTTGTATTTCAATGTTTTGTACTTTAGTTTTTGTAGACTCTATGTCGTCTCTTTCTTGGTCTGTTTTTGCTGGTGTATTCGGTTTTGAGGAGCTTTGGCTTGGACCGGATACCCCTCCTCTTGTACTTGTTTGCCTTCTTATTAATAATATATATTATATAAAAATTAAAATATATATGTATATATATATATACATACATATATATATATATACATATATATATATATACATATATATATATATATAAAATACAAAAATGGCTTCTCTCTCCTCTCTCCCTCCTCCAGCCCCTCCTCCAACCTCCGGCAGTCATCACGGCCACCTTCTCCCAAACCCTACACCATCTCATAACCATGCCTCCAACAACACCTCCAAACGCAGCACCAAAGCCAGAAACGAAGGTCTCACTCGCTTGCCGGCGTTCTCCTCTATCCCTCCACCAAGGCACGATGAAAAGCGCTCTTTTTCTGATGTCATTGGATCCTCAACTTCCATTCCTCAGCCTTCCATCAACTCCAGGCCCATTACCAAGCACAAAGGTTTCCCGGCGATCTCTTTCTCACCGGCAGAGGTTAAAGCTCTCTTTGCACCCTATGAATTCTCCCATGTAGGAAGATTCCCAAAGTCCAGGCCCCCACTTCCAGTTATCAAACAGGTACTTGAACGAATTGGGTTCAAGCACAGCTATACCGTCGGGGTGCTGGCACCATCACACGTCCTCCTTACTTTCCACAATGCGGAAGACTACCAGAGGTGTTTCTCTAAACGTCTCTGGCAAATTCAAGGCTACCCCATGCATGTGTTCAAATGGAATCCAGACTTCCATTGTGATGAAGAGAGTCCAATCTTTCCCATTTGGATTTCCCTAGAACATCTTCCTGTCCACCTCCACGATCCGGTTGCTCTTCAAGCCATCCCTAAAATCTTTGGAAAACCTCTCATGCTTGATGCAGCAACCTCCTCCAAAACCAGGCCCTCAGTTGCAAGGTTTTGTGTTGAACTTGATGTTTCCGGCGACCTACCAGCAAAATTCTTCCTTGACAATGGAGGCAAAGGACTCTGGCAACCAGTTCACTACGAGCAGGTCCCTATGTTCTGCACAGACTGCAGAAAAACAGGCCACAAGGCTGGAGAATGCCATCAAGCCAAAAACACCACTCCAAAAGCCACGCAGGATGCACCCATAGCTGCTGCAGGTATTGTTCCCTCCAATATACCTCCAGCTAATACAGTCCAAAACCATCCCATCCCCACAACCCCCAAATGAATCCATCTCCTACCCCAAACAATCCAACCACTTCAGTCCTAAACCATCCCATACCCACAACCCCAAACGACCCAAATAATACACTACAAAACACCCCAATTACTACTCTACAAAACCCCCTCCCTCCTACCCCACCCCCAAACTCTCTCCTAAACGATCCAACCACTTCAGCCCAAAACCCCCCCACACCCCCTCACACTATCCTTGAAACCCCTCATTCTTTGAACATCACTCTCTTATCTCTTCCTTCTCAGGATCACATGGATGAAGATTTGCTCCAAAACCTATCCCCTAATCCTATTGTTCGTAGTGAGCCGGGTCCACCAAGGTGTGACCTCAACTTCACTGATTCCAAAACCCATGTGGATTATGCCCATCACTCAGACACAGAGGGTTGTCCCAAACTACGCAGAAAATACTCCCCATGCCCCATCAATGAGTTTAAGGCCTTCAGCAGCCTCATATCACAAAAAATGCCACCAAAACCTCAGGGGGGAATTCACATTGATCTCACCCCCTTCCAACCTGTTAAAACATCACGCAAAAACAGAAACTCCCACCTCCCTCCCAAATCTAACATGATTACCAGACAACAAGCTAGAGCCTCCCAATCAATACCTGCCACTGCTCTTCTTTCCTTATGAATATTCTCATTTGGAATGTAAGAGGGATATCCTCCTCCCTCCAGTGGCTACACCAACTCCTCCACTCCCATAACACTAAACTTCTGGGTATCCTTGAACCCATGGTTTCTCCTGTCCAACTCCCCACTTCTGGATACTCACTTGGTCTTGATAGTCACCTCCATGGTCTCTCCAACAAAGCCTGGCTCCTCTGGGACTCCTCGCACTATACCCTTCTTCAGCACAATGAACAAAACCAAGTCCTACATGGCCTCTTCTCCCACAACCAAACCAAAATCACCTTTTGGCTCTCCTTAGTCTATGGTCTCCATTCTAAAAACTCCCGATTACCTCTTTGGACTTCCCTTCGATCCCACTCCTCCTCAATCAGCCTCCCTTGGATCATTGGTGGGACTTCAACACCATTACAAACCCTGATGAACATAAAGGTAATAGTGTGCCATGTTTCTCAAGCATGGAAGACTTTAATCAGTGTATTATGGACTGCAACCTTCTTCAACCCCAACATATAGGCCCTCCATTCACTTGGAATGGGAAACGTTCTAATGGGGTTTTATCTAGAAAACTAGACCGTTTCCTTATTAACCCAATGGCAGACCAGCTCTACTCCAAGGTGCACTATTCAATCCTAAACAAAACCACCTCTGACCACAGCCCCATACTCCTTCGCCAAAGTCCTTCCGTTTCCTTAATTTGTGGACATCTCACCCCACATATTTGGGTACAATCAAAAGCATCTGGGATTCTGTCCCTACAGGGAGGGGAATGCACGGCCTCTTCCTCAAACTCCAAGCCACCCAAAAATTCCTGAGTTCGTGGAGCAAAAGCACGTATGGCAACTTCTTCAACAATGTCAAACAAGCAGAGGAAGCATGCACAAAAGCGGAGGAAGAATATGAGGGCAATCCTAACAACAATACAAGGTCCTCCTGGGGGGAAGCCAAAGCACACCTGATACAATGTATCCAAACGGAGGAATCCTTCTGGAGACAAAAAGCAAATGCCAAGTGGATCTCTCAATGAGATGCTAACACCTCTTTCTTTTATGCAGCATGCAGGGCAAGATGGCGCAGACAACACATCCATTCCATCCGTACCAGCCAAGGAACCCAAGTCACAACTGAGAAGGAAATTCTTGAGGCTGGGGCAGACTATTTCCAGGACCTCTACAGTCCCCAGCCCACACATAATATGGAGCATATTCTTCACCACATCTCCCACACTATCCAAGCTATTCAAAACGAGAAATTATGCCTTCTCCCGAACCCCGAAGAAATTAAGAATGCTGTGTGGGATTTGGACTCCAATAGCTGCGCAGGCCCGGACGGATTCAATGTCACCTTCTTCAGAGAATCATGGGACATTATCAACGAAGACGTAACCAGTGCTGTTCAGGAATTCTTCCTCGGAATAATCCCCCCTAAGGCCATGAGGACATCCAACATTATCCTCATCCCCAAAAAAGAAGCCCCTGCATCATTCAATGACTACCGGCCCATCAGTCTCACCAACTTCTCCTTCAAAATTATCACAAGAATCTTGGCCTCTAGGCTTACTTCTGTGCTTGCTGACATTATCTCCATTGAACAAGGAGGATTTGCTCCAGGAAAAGATATCCAAGATCACATTTTGCTAGCGAGAGAACTCATTCACCTCTTGGACAGGAAAACTGAGGGGGGCAATCTTGCCCTAAAGCTTGACATCACTAAGGCCTTTGACAAAATCTCATGGAGCTACATTGAGAAATGTTTAGAACATTTTGGCTTCTCCCACAGATTCATCCGACTAGTCATGAACTCCATCAAACACAGTGTTGTTTCCACCCTCATCAATGGCAACCCTTCCAAAAGCTTCAATCCCAAGAGAGGTGTAAGACAGGGAGATCCCTTATCCCCCTACATCTTCATCATTGCCATGGAAGGCCTCACAAGATCCCTTAACCACCTCCACAACTCAGGCCAGATTAGAAAATACAACACGGGGAGGATCCAAACAGTAAATCATCTTACCTTCGCAGATGACGTGTTGATCTTCACAAACGGATCCCTACCCAATCTCAAAAAACTCAGAAGTTTCCTCACCACATTTGAGGAAGCAACTAGCCTCCACCTTAACCATGCAAAAAGCCAGATCCTCTCCCCCAAACCTTCATCTAATCACAATAAGCGCCAAGCAAACTGCCTGGGAATGAAAGTAGCCCCCCTGCCATCACTTACCTTGGTGTTCCTCTCTACAAGGGGATTAATAGAGCCAAATACTGCCAGGACCTGCTCAGGAAAATTGATCTCAAGCTTTCAAGCTGGAAAATGCATACTCTCTCCCAAGCTGGCAGGCTAACGCTCATCAAACATGTCCTCTCTACCCTCCCCCTCCATACTATGTCTTCTTCCAAACTTCCTAAGCTGATCCTTTCATTGATTGAGAGCAAACTCCGTCAATTTTTTTGGGGGAGTAATGCTGATGGATCTAAGCATGCATGGGTTTCATGGCTTCAAATATGCAAACCGGTATAGGAAGGGGGACTAGGAATTCCAAACCTTAGCCTCCTTCAACAGTCCCTGGGGTGTAAACTTTGGTGGAAATACCACTTCACCTCCTCACCATGGGTTTCCTTCATTAAGTAAAGCTATCACCGTAGAGGTTTCTTCACCACCACTATCATAGATAGACCGGTTTGGAAGAGAATTTGTCAAGCTGATGAATTCTACTCCTCCAACTCTAATTTCACTAATGGCACTCTCACATGGGAGCTAGGAGATCAAGGTTTCTTCTCCCTCAAAAAGGTTTCCCTCGCTCTCCATGAATCAGGTCCCTCCACGCTCACGGCAAAAATTCCTTGGCCCAAAAAAGGAATACCAAAGGCAAACCTATTCCTCTGGAAAACCCTAAACAAAGCAACCCCCCTCGTCCAACAACCTTCAAAGGCTTGGCTTCAATCTCCCCTCCATGTGCATGTTTTGTTCCCAAGCAAGCGAAACAGACTACCACTGCCTTATGTTGTGTCCTAAAACCAGCAACATCTGGAACAACATAGGGCAACTACTACACATGCCTACGATATCCAACTCCTCCTTCCAGCATAACCTAATCATGTGGTGGCTGTCCACGTCCCCTACT